GGTTTCACAAAGGGCAAGTAATACAATTTCAATGATAAACAGGAATGGGAGATTCATTCTTGATGAGATTAAGAAAATTGTTGCATTTCCTAGTGGTGCTAAAACCAGTCTTCAGATGTGTGAGACAACTCTCCCTAAGGCAATCAACAACAGTAGCTTTAACAAAGAAACAAAAGAAAATTCTCCACGACATTTGTTACTTTGATCACAGTTTTCCACAGCTTTACTTTGTACTTTGTCTGGACTTTCACCGTTTTGTTCCAATAAACCTTGTCTCCCCCTCATCTCCGCACCTGAGTCCTCCGTCAACACCCACCTCCCTGACAGCCTGGTGTTTTCCCACCTGTGCAGGTACACGCTTCTCCCCCAGGGCGTCCTGCAGGTGAGCGGCGTGCGGCGGGCGGACGCCGGCGTCTTCCGCTGCGTGGCGAAAAACATCGCCAACACCCGCTACAGCCAGGAGGCCACGCTCAACGTCACCGGTAGGGTTTAACCGACCGGTAGGCCCCGACACCCGCAGGACTCCGGGTTTAAACCGGGAAATCAGCAGCTTCTGATGCAAACACATTGCTTCCTGTAGACTTTGGGTTGGCTTTTACTTTTATTTATCAGCCAAAACCAAACCTCTTCTGGTCTTTTAGTTGATTGGAAATGGCTAACTTTGAGTTGGGGTAAAGCGGGAAGCTAAATCTGGAGGTTGAACAGGAGAAGTTTGGTCTGATCAGAGGAACTACTTTCCTGTCCCCCGGTCAGGTTTTGCATTTACCATCTTACTTCTGTAACAAAAATAAATCCTAAATAAATAATAATAATAATAATAATCTAGTTTATGATGGATTTTATTATGTTGTCCTGTGTTCTTATATGTCTTACTCTACTGCTGCCTCTTGGCCAAGTCTCCCTCGAAAAAGAGATTCTATCTCAAGGGACTTCCTGGTAAAATAAAAAATAAATAAATAAATAAAGCAGTATTGGATGATCAGGGGAAGCTTCTCATCCTGAAAGGCCTCATTTGGCAAAGCAAAAGAGTCGGGCAGAGCACGAAACTCAGAATACAACTCTGTTACCATAATGATAAACACGACAAGGGGTAAAAAATACAAATGAGAAAAATAAAATAAATTTCTACCTGTAAGCTTTTAAAGAGGGGCAGAAGTAATAGTTCAGTCTGAAAGCGTCCAGACATGGACCACGTTGGTTCAGTGTTTGGGTCTTCATCTAAAACTTCATCAGTTCTACCTTTTTTTTTATCAGACTTATTCTTTTTGTTTGATTATTTGACTGCAGATCAACACCAGAGGAAGTCCGTTGAGGCTAAAACAAACCACTTTTCCTCGGTGTGTAGCGTCTTCTAACTCCTCCTTCCCCTCTGACTCTTCCAGGTGGAGCTTCCCGGACCTATAAGGAGCCCATCATCTTATCTGGGCCTCAAAACCTGACCCTCACCGTCCATCAGACCGCCATCCTGGAGTGCATCGCCACCGGGAACCCCCGGCCCATCGTGTCCTGGAGCAGGCTGGGTACTAACTCTAATAATTCTTTAGCTGGAAACCTGAGAATAAACCAGAGTAGCTCAAGAGCCCTGAGATCTGACAGACCTAATACCAAATTCCCACGAATTTCTAACCATGCCTAAAGGTGGATCTAATGCAACAGAGAAAGAAAAAGTCAGAAAAGAGAGTCTGTGGACACAGACAGAGACTTCAACACAAAAGTATAGTTCTAAAAGGAATAAGACAATCAGTAATTTACATAGATCATGTGATAGCATACAATGCTAAAATTAGTAATTTTAGCCAGATGCTAACACACACCACGGAGCTGAAACTCCTGATACAAGAAATTCTCACACGAGTGAAAAATCATGTCAAAAAGGGGAAGAAACGGGGCCAAAAACCCGGGTTAGGCCCTTTGGCTAGTGACCTCTGGGCAGGAACAGGCCAGGTCCTAATTCATGCAGATGACAGGAATGTGGTAACAAATGGTGTGTGTGTGTGTGTGTGTGTTGACCTAAAGGTGGATCTAATGCAACAGAGAGAGAAAAAGAGAGAAAAGAGAGTCTGTGGACACAGCCAGAGACTTCAACTCAAAATATAGTTATAAAAGAAAATAAAACAATCAGTAATTTACATAGATCATGTGATAGCATACAACGCTAAAGTCAAATACATGCAAAATAAACAGGGAATCAACACAAAAAGCAAACGTTTTCCTTTGAAATCCATCTTTCCTCCATGTTATCCTGCAGTTTATCATCATTTCTATGAAATCCAAGCGAGATGAGCTGAAAACGTATTCCAGGAGATCTGCTGACAGACCAATTTCTATCTGCTGGTTTCTGAATATGAAGCGACTGAGTGATGCTAAAGTGAGTGACTATAGCCAGATTCTGACTCCCTGACGGGTTTCTCTTCCCCCAGACGGGCGCTCCATCGGGGTGGAGGGCATCCAGGTGCTGGGCTCCGGGAACCTGATGATCTCCGACGTGTCCCTGAGGCACTCCGGCGTTTATGTGTGCGCCGCCAACCGACCGGGGACCAGGATGAGGCGCACGGCCCTGGGCCGCCTGGTGGTGCAAGGTGGGGTCTCCATCCATCCATCCATCCATCCATCCATCCATCTATCTGTCTATCCATCCATCCATCCATTTATCTATCTATAAACCCATCCATCCA